ATGCAAAATTATCCCCTACGTTGCTCCCCCACCAAGGCTGGGCCATCTCTGCCCCAGATTACTTGGGTATCCAGACAGTGCATTCTGACAGCAGTCCCTTGGAGACAGAACTGCTACATCATGCCCGCCCCCCCCCAACACACACATGCATGCAAACACACGCAGCCACACACAAAAAGCCACCTGTCTGCCACTTCTAGTGAGGGAGAGGTCCTAGGACCCAAGCCCACAGCACCCTCCCCACCGGCTGCCTCATTTCCTCTGAGATAAATCACACAGAGGGCTGGGGAGCCCACAAATCCCTCAAGCAAACATGCAAGTCAAACAGCACCATTTACCCCGCAAGGGCCTCTTCAAGTTAACAAGGCGTGGGAGGATCCGGGCAACAAAACCGGCCTTGTCCGGCGAGGTCGGCCTTTGCCCCAGGGAGGAGACCTATGGCCGCCCCCGTGTCCCCGCTTCCTCGGCTGCTGGCCTACCCGAGACCTGAGCTTTTCACAGCCCAGACGGCCACCTCAGACCTGGTGAAGAGGCTAAGGCCCTGGCCTGGAAGAGCAGGCGGCCCGGTGGCTCAGATACACGCCTGGCCCCCACCAGTGGGGATGGGTCTCCTCTTCTTGTGGGATCCCGAGGAGGCCCCCAGGCCACTTGTTAAGGGGCACTGGTGTAGCTGAAGAGAACTGGGGACACTCACTGACCACTGTAATCAGCTACCTCACCCCAAGGGTCAGAGCTACAGGAAAAGAAAGATGAGGAGTGGGATGGAAGAGCACCAGCTGGACTCCTGCTGCCCTGGCCTCTTCTTGCCTCCCTGCTTCCAGGAACCTTCCTGTTACCATGGCTGGGCCAGGCCCACCCACTCCCACCGCCAGACTTGCTGCCACGCAACCAACCCCTCTAATCAGAGGCTCTCTGTCGGTCATGCAGCCAAGAAATTGAAACACGTTTGCTCCTTCCACTTGGAGGAAAACGTATGACAAACCTGGACAGCGTATTAAAAAGCAGAGACATACAGTCTCTGCTAGACACACAGACATATAGTCAAAGCTATGGTTTTTCCAGTAGTCATGTATAATGTGAGAGGAGGACCATGAAGAAGGCTGAGCACCAAAGAACTGATGCTTTTGAACTATGGTGTTGGAGAAGACTTCTGAGAGTCCCTTGGACAGCAAGGAGATCCAACCAGTCAATCCTAAAGGAAATCAACTCTGAATATTCACTGGAAGGAATGATGCTGAAGCTGAAACTCCAATACTTTGGCCACCTGATGGGAAGAGCCACTGGAAAAGACCCTGATGCTGGGAAGACTGAAGGCGAAAGGAGAAGAGGGCAGCAGAGGATGGGATGGTTAGACAGCATCACTGACTCAGTGGACATGAATCTGAGCGAACTCAGGGAGTTGATGAAAGACAAGGAAGCCTGGCGTGCTGCAGTCCATGGGGTCACAAAGAGTCAGACACAACTTAGCAACTGAACAACAACAACAGATCAGAGGGCTCACAGAAAAGACTCTGGGTATCTCCAAGTATCTCCAGCTTAGGGGCCTGCCCTGAGCCTGCACTGGATTAATTCCACATAAGGCATCAACAAATATCAGAGAAAGAAAATAAACCATAGAAACAAATGTTTCAATAGGACATAGCTTGTAACAGGAAAACACTGAAAATAGTCCAAAGGTCAGTCAATAGGCGACTAGTTAAATCAATTATGCTGCTTTTATGTAACTCAATACTCTGCAGCAGTTAAAAACAAGGAAGTAGAATTTGTACTGAAAAAGAAAGATGCACATGACATATTCAGCAAAAAAAAAAAAAAACATACCAGCAATAAAAGTACTGTGCAATTCCATTTTGTCGAATATGTTAATAAGATATAAAGCATTCCATGTGTACTGATAAAAATCTCAAACTTTTCATGGTGATATACTCATGGTTAGTTATTTCAGTGGAGTGAGGCTACAGGAAGAATTATTTTATTTTTTAAATGTCTGCATTGATTCTTTAATTATTTACAAAATGCATATTAATTTTACAATTAAGCAAAGTATAAAAACATGAAGAAAGCACTGGCCTTCCACTTTTTAAACTATTTAATCTAACAGTCATCCAGTAAGGCAGAGCAGGCCAGGAGGCTCCAGTGGGCGAAGGGCACCCTGGAGGGGCCATCAGAGTCTGTGTGGACAAGGAGAGGCCCTGCAGAGGTGCACGGAGACCCAGCAAAGGGTGAAAAGGGGAATGGTGAGGGGAAGGAGGCAGCAGAGGGAAAAGCAAGCAGGTGCACACACAGCCACTAAGTAAATAGATTAAGAAGAATCAAAACCAGATTTCTCACTGCTGGAAAAGGGAGATACAAAAATGGAAAGGAAGAAGACAAGAATGAACCTGTCACATTGTGGTTCTGCACTGGAACTAGAAATGTGAGTATGAACTCATGGTTTCCAATATAGAGTATTACATATTGAAGGCACAGGTATATTAGGAAAAGAAAGAGACACGTGGCAATAGATATGAGTGCTTATGTGTGTGGTGGGGGTGTACTCAGATATTCCCACTCTGTTCCCTGAAAGGTCCTAGAAACCATTACCTCCCAGGAGCTCTGAATACACCAAGTATACCCAGCATTCAGACTTGCTTCTATTCTCCGCTAAAAAGAATGTGAACTCCTAGGAAAAACATCTGATTTCCAGGACTACGGCAAGATAATTATAAAACAAGCCTGAAACATCTTGTGCCAGAGAACAAGAATGTGCTCAAAGAACAAGGGGATATGTCGAAAAGACAGAGAAGGGACCTCCGTGGTGGTCCAGTGGTTAAGACTCTGCCTTCCAATGCAGGGGACTTGTCCCTGGGTAAGGGAACTAAGATCCCACATGTCACAAGCAACCAAGCCTGTGAACCACAATAAGGGAAAAACCGAGCACTGCAACTAAGACTGGACTTAGTTGAATGAATGGATAAACAAATAGAGAAGCAAGCTTGAAATGGTTTCCACTGGCCATAGGGGTATATACAACCCACTCAGTAGAACAGGAAGCCATGAGAGAGAGAGAGACAAAGTGTGTGTGTGTGTGTGTGTGTGTGAGTATGTGTGTCTGTGTGAGTATGTGTGTCTGTGTGTGTGGAAAGAGGTGTGGAAAGGGAAAACAAGTATCACTACAGTGGTGAAGCCTACAGACACGACTTTAGTCAAATGATCAAAGTGAACATCCTTAGTAGTTAAGTCATATCAAGTCAAGTCCCAATCAACAGGATGCAACAAGAAAAGGCAGCTTCAGCCTGTGAAAGTCCTGCCTAAGATGAAAAACCCATCCGACCATGAAAGAAAGAAAGAAAGTGAAGTCACTCGGTCATGTCCAACTCTTTGGAAACCCATGGGCTGTAGCCTACCAGGCTCCTCCGTCCATGGACTTGACCAGGCAAGAGTACTGGAGTAGGTTGTCATTTCCTTCTCCAGGGGATCTTCCCGACCCAGGGATAGAACCCGGGTCTCTCGCATTGCGGGCAGACACTTTACTGCCTGAGCCGCCTGGGAAGCCCTAACCATGAGGATCAGACAAATCCAGACTGAGAGACTACCTAGAAAATAACTAACCTGTAATCTCCCAAAGCATCAAGGTCACACAGCTCACAGCCTGCGGAACTGTTCCAGGTTGAAGGAGACCAAAGAGAAACAACTAGTAAACACAGCACTTTATTCCAAACAAGCTCCTTTTCCTATTAAAGAAACTATTAAGAAAACAACTGGCAGAACTTAACCAGGGTCTGACAGTTGGACAGTGGACATTAATTCCTGATGGGTTACTATTATACAGGAGAATATCCTTGTTGGCAACAAATACACATTTACATCCTCAGGGGTGATGGGATATCAGGCTGGCAACTTAAGTAAAAAGAGAAAAATTCTTTATACTGTACTCGCAGCTATTCTGTAAGTCTGTAACAGTTTCACAATTTTAAAAATTTAATTGCAAATGGAAAAAACACTGTGCTAAGTTACCAGGTGAGTTCAGATAGTTATATACCAGCTTCGTGTCAATCAAACCCTAACAGTCCTCCTTTAACTGGGGGACCATAAATGCTTCTGATTGAGAAGGGGCTCTGCTTAAATCAGACCTCTGCTGCAGGGCTAGGACACTCTGCCTCCTCCTGGGACTGTCTTCCAACCCGAAAGGTCCAACCATCTACGGACACAGAGCGTCATCAGTCCCTGCCATGGCCCTGCAGCCCAGGCAGTTCCAGACCATAAACTACAAGAGAAGGGGCACTGGCCAACACCACCCACAGAGAGCAGTGTTCTGACCAGCCTGCTCTTCACGCCTCTGTCAATGTGAAACAAGAGCCGAGCAAAGGGAAGAAACGGACTTCTAATGTAGACAGCAGCAAGAGAAACAGGACACACTCCCACCCCAAAACCACGATGGAAGCTGTGCCATCTTGTACTTACAAAGAGATGCAATGTTTCCAAGCTTCTCTCCATCTGTAATTTCACACAAAATCCATACAAAGAAGCTGCAGACCCTCAAGCTCCCAGACTAAGTCAGATTCCTGTTACCCAGCACACATACCACAGAGCACCTCCTCCTCGTTAGCCCTGGCAACACTCATAATGATACAGACTGTGTATGATTATGAGATTAACATTTGTACCCTCCATGGGACTGCAGAGTCCAGGACCACAAGGGTTGAATGTTTGCTCACAGAGAGCCCCGATTCCTCACAAAAGGCAGACACCAGAAATACTTGCTAAGTAATCACACATACGCGTGGGTAGGTGGATAGATGGGTGGTGGATAAGCAGGTGGGTAAGTGGACAGACCCACAGATAGATGGCGGGTGGCAGGTGTGTGGGTAGGTAGATGGATGGATAGACGGTAGGCGGGTGCATGGGTGGGTCGTAGGATAGTAGGTGGGTAGAGGAGTAGGTGCAGCGGGGCTGGTAAACAGACGTGAGTGGGTCGATGCCTGACCTGAGTCTGCTCCCACGGCCCAGCCCGGCTGTACCTGCTGCTGCTGGGCCCGGAGGTCGCCGATTTCCTTCTGGTCCTCCTCGTGGAGCCGCTTCATGTCCTCCCACGACTGCTGGAGCAGGTTACGTTCCCGTAGCAGCTGTCCATTCTCCCGCCTCAGCATGTCCACGTCATCCTTCAGCTGGGTCTGGTCGCTCAGGAGCCGGCTGTGGAGTGTGCTGAAATGCCCCCAACACAGTGAGCACAGCCAGCCTCCAACTCCCACCAAAGCACCACCTCCTCCTCCACCAGGCCCCAACACCCCCAACACACCAGATAGGCCACTCAAACCCTGGCGTCAGCCACATGCCAGTAAGACCCAAACCAATTTTTAGCAACCTGACACTAAAATGGCACATGTGTGAAGGCCAAGGAAAGCAGATAAGCCCCTACCCTAGTAGGGACCCAGCACCTTCAATACTGAGGGCTGAGCCAATGTCAGCAGGTGGGCAGGCAGATGCCCTCGGAGGGGCCCCAGGAGAACAAAGGGGAAAATGCCCCATTGGCCTCTGTGGACCAGAGGTCCAGCAATCTGCCTGGCTCACGCATTCAACCACTTTCCTACCAGCCATGCTTTGGAAGTTGACCATGGATGCAGTGTGAAAACTGAGGCCCAAAACCACAAACCTACTAGCCCACTGCTTGCTAGACAGTGAAGACAGAACCAGAAGCCCAAGCTCTGGGTCCAGAAATAAAGACTGGCAAGAGGCAGAAGCTGGGGAGCCCCAGGAACTCACTGGTAGAAGTCGGTCTCCTTGGCCACCTCCTCACACCTCTTCAGGGCGTTGGTGTGCTGGCTCTGCAGGCTCTGCAGGTCTGACATGGCCCGCACGCACTGGATCTTCAGCCTCTCGTAGTCCGGATTCAGCCTGTGGTAGGGCCTAGCCCAGAGAGCAGACAGCCCAGTGAATACGCGCCCCGGGATCACCATGACAAGGACGTCTCTCCCTGAAGAGCCATGTCCTAGGTCACTCCAGCCTAGCGGTTCCCAAACACTGGCCACCTCCATATCTCCACACCACCACCTGGTGCCCTGCTGAGCCCAGGAGTCCTGGCCACACCCAGACAGCCAGAATCAGAACCCCCAGGATGGAGGGCCCTGATCGCTTATCTCCCTGGGTGGGCCTGGAGAGCTGGGAGGGGCTCTTGATCTCTGGGACCCTCCAGGAGGCCACGCGACCAGCCTGCACACACACTGGGTCCACCAAGTCCCTGTGGCTAAGGTCCTCCTCTCCTCAGAGCAGGATTCTCAATCTTGGGCGCATAATAAAAGACCAAGGCCCAGACCAATGACATCAGCATCCCTGAGGGCAGGACTCAGACACGGGGAATTTTTTTTTTTTTTTTAACTCCTAGAGGGATTCCAAGATTGAGAAAAATAGCCAGGAGCAGGAGTTCTCAAAGTGGGGTTCCCGGACCTGCAGCATTGTAATCACCTGGGAATTTGTCAGAAATGCAAATTCTCAGGCCAGGCCCAGACCTCCGAAATCAGACACTCAGGAGGGAGGAAGGACTGGCCAGCAATTTGTGCTTTAACAAGCCCTTGTGGGTGGACCTGGTGTGAGCTCCAGTCTGGTGCCCCCTGCTCTAGGGGACATCAGCAACCTCGTATAGAAGGGCTAGTCTCTGCGCAGACACCCCTCTGCCTTGTGACATGAAAGTGGCTAAGGACAGCACACACTCACGCCCAGCCCTCAAGCTGTCTGACCAAGAGACACGTCTTCAAAAATAGCCGCCCAGAAAAACCTTCCTCGGGGTGAGCCACATACCCCTGATGCTTTCAAAGGAAACAGATTAAACCGAGCCTGCTCCCACCTCCCTCAGAACCTTGCCAGAATCTCCCCAACCCTTCTCTGCTATCTACCTTTTAATCCCAACAAAAGAAGCAGTCAAAGATTTTCTTCAAAATAACAAAACGTCAGGTGGGACCAACCCTTTTTAAAGCATGTATGTGGCAGGAAACAACTAACAGTTTACAAACCACATAAAGATCTACCCAACAATGAAGCAGGCTAGGGTATCCAGGAGACAGCAGCACCCGTGCACAGAGAAACACGGATGCATGCGGACACACAGATCAGTCAAAGGCTCAGCAACGGGGTGATTGGGGCAGCGGATGCCACGGCATCAAGGTGGTGACCTTGGCCAGCAGGGGAGGTGCATGGTCCCCACCTCTTGTCGAAGGTGATCCCGTGGGTGGCAAAGGCCAGGCGCTTCCGCAGCTCGTTCCTCTCCCGGGTCATCATCCGCAGCTGCATGGACAGGCTCTCCAGCTTCTCGTTCAACTGCCGCTCGCTGAGCACAGGCGGTGGGGACGGCGCCTTCCCGGTGGTGCCTGCAGGAGGAAGGTGACAGAGGGAACTTGCTTTCGCCCAGTACCCACCAGCAGCCAGGCGCCATCCTGGGCTCTCAGCTGGCGTTCACACCTCACACCCACCTTCCCAGGTGGGTCCGGTTACAACCCTCTTTCCCAGATGACACCACCAAGCCAGAGAGCAAGAGGCAAGGCAGGGACCAGAGCCCAGGCAGACTGGCTCCAGCATCCACTCCCAGGGCCCTGGCTGAGGACGCTGGGGTCCCCCTCTCTCTCCCCAGCCTGGCTTTGGCACCTCCAGGATGGCCCAGCCTCATCTCTGCATCTTTGCCTGCTCCACTACCACCAGCTGTCACCCTCTTCTGGGCAAAGGGGCTGGCCTAAGCCCTGAACAGAGTGGAAGACACAGCCTGAAGAGGAAGGCACGGTTGCAATCCAGAGAGGCTGGCAGAGAACAGAGGCAGTCAGTTCCTAAGCTTGGCCCATGGGCCGTGTTCTGTTCTTCCCTGATCAGGGCTGGAGAGTCTGCATGGCTCCCTCTTCCAAGCTGCCCGACAGCCTGAGGACCTGTTCCACCAGCCCAGAGGTGCAGCGTGGGGGAAGTGCAGGGACAGCTGGCCATGGCCAAGGGGTACAGGGAAGTCCCAGGGCCTCTGGGGGCCCAGCCCACACCAGGCCCTCATCACTTATCCCCGGGACTAGACATGTTCTGAGAAGGAAACCCCACGCCGTATGCCATTACTTAGGAAAAGTGGCCATCACCAGCACCTCTGGGGAGACCCCTGTTTCTAGGAAGAATTCACCTCACTCAAATGTCCCAGAAAAAGACAAATCCATGGTATTATATCAATACCTGTATATTTTAGTACATACTTGTGTATATATATATATATATATGTGTATATATATATATACACTTGTATATTTAAGTATATACTTGTATATTTAAGTATCTCTACCTCTCATGGATCCTCAGTGGGGTCAGAAAAACCCATAGCAGTCACCCCAGTTAATGGATGGGATCCCGAAGCTGACTCACCCCAGGAACACAGTATCTGTGTCCCCAGGAGCCCTGTAATGTGCAAAGGTCAAGACACACGTCCTCTGACTCTGTGTCTCCTGACCACTGCCCCCCAGCTGACCCCTGCTGGCGGATCTGTTCGTATACACCAAGTTTCCCCCAAGAAGGGCACTCAGGCGTGACCTCGCGTCTTCTGGGAGTGCCAGGGAGGATGGAAAGCTCGACACTTTTTTGGGCAACAAGGCAGGCCACGGTCTGAGGCAGGAGACTCCAACATTATCCAGTGTCAGCACCCCAACCACCGAATCTACTACCTCTCGAAACGCATGTTATTTTAAAACCAGCACCACCATAACATCAGGATTTCTGTGCTCAGACCAGACCTCTGGGGCCGGAATGTTCTCTAAAGGTGGGGTCCAGGACCACCACCACCAAGCATCGCCCTCCCTGCAGGGGTTCTACTTCACAGTGGGAGAAGCCTTCCCTCACCCTTCTCCAAAGACCCTGGATCCTCACCCTTGCCCCCCAGGAGTTCTGGAAGACAGGCTGTGTGCATCTGTGTGACTGGACGTCCTCCTCTGCAAATGAAGGCACTTCTATGAGCTTTAGTCCTATGACTGTTTTCTGATTTGCACTAATTTACCTGGCTCTCTGACACATGGGGCTTCCTCTGGGTATGTGCCTGACACTCCTTCCAGAGAAGCCGACAACTAACTCAGCTTCTAACCAACCCAGGGGAACGCGATCTGTGTAAGATTGACAAACCCAAGACAGGGAATGAATAGACTAAACAGACTCAGACTCAGCTTGGAAAAGAAGGATTTCAGTGTAAACTGTCACAACCAACCCTCACAACAACAACCAACACAGATGTCCCAGGCATTCATCTAATCTTCCCAACAACCCTGGAGGTGGTAAGAATATTAACATCTCCATTTTACAGGTGGGAAGGCAGGCCGAGCAAGGTCAAGGAATTGACTCAAATGTGCACAAACCACAAGTGATGCCCCGGATGACAGCCCAGTCACTTGGATTCAGAGAACATGCTCTTTGCTGTAGTCTGTGCCTTGCCGCCCCGCAAAGACAACCGTGAGTAGCATTCACATATGCCCGGCAGCTTCTAAGATGTTTTTCATACATTATCCCATCCCATCCCCTTAAGGAAGATACTGCTGCTATTCCTGTTTTACAGATCAGGAAACAAAACCTTATCAAGCTTAAATAATGGGTCCAGGTCACCAAGCCAGTAAATATAGAGTGCCCTTTGTCTGACCCCAGTGCCCAAGGCCTCAACCTAAAAGTTCTTAAATGCTTTGATCCTAGGACCTCTTTACACTTAAAAATGAGGACTCCAAAGAACTTTTATTTATATGGTTATGCCTAATAACACCTACCCGATTAGAAATTTTAAAAGTATTTTTAAATATTTACTAATTTTAAAATAACCAAACCTGTTACATAGTCACGTAAGATTTCTTTTGTAAAAAATTAACTACCCTTTCCATCATCAAACAGAAAACACAGCGAGAAGAATGGCACTGCTGTGCGTCTGTGTGATGACATTTGATGTCTGGCTTAACAGAGTCAGCTACAGTCTCACATGTCTGCAGCATCACACACTGCGGATGGAACCTTTAGAAAACTCCACTCCACAGAGGAGTTTGTGTGAGGACGAACATGCAAAAGGCAAGAGACATCTCAGTATCATTATAAAAACAGTTCTGACTACACTGGCTCCCTGCCAGGACCTCAGGGACACCAGACCATGCTTTGAGAATGACCTGACCTATGATCAAGTTCAATAAGAATCAGAGAAACATATATCTCAATTTCGAAACTGAAAAGCACCACCAGGCCCAAAAACCTGCCTCCAGAGAGATAAAGAATTCTCACCCCATTTTGAAAATGAAGCAACAGGAAGACGCAGTCCTTAGCTTTTGTGGAGGCTAGAGAGAGAAGCAGTAGCCGGACAGAAGTAGGGGTCAGACCTGTCACTGCACACAACCGCCGCCCCCTGTCTGTCTCCAGCAGGATGAGGCCTCCGGCCCTGCACCTGAAAGGACCCAGGGGCAGCTGATCCAAGAGACAATGACATGAGTACTGTCATTTGCTAAGGGCAGCCTAGGTACTGGGTTCTATGCTAAATGCACCTGGGTCCTCACCTCATTAATCCCCAGGGTACCTTCCCCAGTACATGCTGTGATTACCACGTGAGAAACTGACATCTAGCAAGGCTGCAGAGATAGGAAACGTGTGGATACCCACACAAACCCGGCTCCATCTCCAGACCCAGGCCCTCAGTCACCGTGCTGCACAGTCTCCCAACAGGAGTGGCCTCCTGGTTCCCTGCCCTGGCCCCAAAGGCTTGAGCATACGTGAAACACACAGAAAGGAAGGTCACCCAGGCCTGTGACTCCGTAAGATGGCAGGTTAACGTAGGGAAACTGCCGCCTGGACGCTCCAGTCTTTTCACAACAAGGAGGCCAGAGAGCAGAAGAGGACCACGGGGACCTCAAGAAAAATCCCAAGATGGGCTCAGCCAGGAAGTCCCAAAATAAGCAGCAAGTGTTGCCGAAAACCTTTTCCATACCCATTCAGTTCAAAATAAAAGTTTTCCTCTTTTACTTGCATCTCAGGGTTGAAAAACATTTTGAAGATGATGCAGTCCTTTCAAGAAAATGGTTGCTGGAATCCTCTAAGTAGCTACCAAGATTGTTTGAGTTCTTGAACAGTGAGGGAGCTCCCTACTTCACAGCAAAGCCCATCTAATCTCTCCCCAGACAATTATTCTGTGAACCGAGTTAAGATCTTCATTTCTCTCACCGACCCTAGATCTACCCCTAGGGCCATAAGGTACAACTGTAATTTCTCTTCTATACAACAAACATGCAAGTATTTGAAGACAACTGTCAAGTCCCTTTATCATTACCAGAATAGCTAAATTTTTTTTTAAAAAGCGACAACATCAAATGCTGGCAAGGATGCAGAGAAACTAGGATTTTCTTTTTTTTTAGAAACTAGGATTTTCAAACACTGCTGGTGGGAATATGAAATCATACAGCCACTTCTGTCAAAGAAAACACTTTGACAGTCTTTTATAAAGTTAAACATGCACTTACCATACCACCCAGTAATCCCACTCCTAGATATTTACACAAAAGAAATGAAAATTTATGTTCACACAAAAGCTAGCACATAACTGTTTATAGCAGCTGTCGAATGGATAAATGGCAGTGTTATTACATTCATATAACAGAATACACCTCAGCAATAAAAAGGCACTGACTATCATACAAACTGCTGGTACACACAAGGGCAGAGGGAACGGGAAACCTCAAATGCACTAAGCTGAGTGGAAGAAGCCAGACTCAAAAGGCCACACACCGTATGATTCCATTTACATGACATCTGGAAAAAGGCAAAACTACAGAGGCAGGAGAGGAGATCCGTGGTTGACAGGGGCTAGAGGGGGTGGAGGCAAGAAAGGCTGACCACAAAGTCACAGAAGGGAATTCTTCAGGGTAGGGTGATTGCTCTGTGTCTTAATTGTGGCACTGGTTAAATGACTAATGTGTTTGTCAAAACTCATCAAACTATACACTAAAAAGGATAAATTTTACTGTACATACCTCAATGAACATGACTTAAAAAAAAAAAAGTTTTGATATTTAAAAAAAAAAAAAACTCATGGTGCCCTAAAACTGAAACAACCATTCCAGGAGAGGTGTGGCTTGTCACCCCCAACCCCCATCAGTCACTATGCTTATAGGAAACGGTTTAAAGAAGCAAAATTATGTCAAATGAGTTGTCCACAGGAATTTCAAACTCTCTTTGTGGAGTTGTTCTTTTGGATTCAAATGCAAAATTGTCCACTCTCCCCCACACTTCACTCCTTCCTCTTCCCAAATCTGAACCCACTTGGAACGAAAGCAGAGAACCTCTCTGCTGGTCAACATTTGGTGCTTTCACTGCTAAGGCCCAGGTTCAATCTGCAGTAGGG